CACCACCATACACCCCCACTGCTACCATCTGCACCCTGAAAATGCCACAGAAAGTCTGCCCCTTACTAAAAAAAAAATTGGTAGTAAAGAAACCAAGCCGGTAATTCCACACGTACCTGTAACAGTTATAATAGCACTTGAATTCTTTTTTTTTTTATTCAAAGGCCCCCCACTATTGAATTTTTTATTACCACATCCTACACAGCGTCCATTTTTCTATTTATGTATTTATTTGTTTTTGTCCACGCGTTGTAGTCGGCCGTTGTCGCGACCGTGAAGCCGAAGGGCGGCGGGACCGACGCTGTTTCGCTGGCGGCCGCGGGAGCGCTAATCAGCGGCCGTGCTCACCGCCAGCAGCCGCCTTTCGTGGTGCTGAAACGCGGAGGCGCGGCGGAGGAAAGCGGCGCACCGAGCGATTACGGTCGGCAGAAAAAAGCTGCTCTCTCTGCGTTAAAGTTAAAACCATTCTTAATGCATAAAACCCAACTCAGTTATAAAGCTCTCCTCTGCTGAGACCGTTTTGTTATATTTAACGACAAGGTAAAGAATTCGCCGGTAATGTTAATTTTGCCTACAGTTATGCGCATTCTCAGTCTAAAAAATAGTTTTTTATGTGCTAATAATCAGACGCACGCATTTACAGGTGTGTGTGTGTGTTTTAAAAGTGATTTGTTTAGACAGACGCAAATGTCTGCACAAAATTATTTATTGCTGTACATTTTTAGATTAAACTCTATTTAACAAAACAGTTCGAAGCTGTTTATAATATGTATGTTTTTCTTTGATTATATTTGTGATGATTTATGGAAAAGCAAATTTTCATAATGATTTATGGACAAGAAATCAAAGTAATCAGTATAGTTAATTTATAAGGCAGCGCGTATTGCTTTAAAGCTGAAAAAACTAGTCCTTGCCATAATTGCAAACTTTGTTAATGCATATATGCTAACGCGGGTATGTGTTTTAAAAAATACACACTCACTCCACCTCGCGCTTGCATAAGAAAAACATTCTTGTAGTTTTGTGCATTGTTTTATAAAAGCACAAATTAAATGTTAAATTAAATATGTCATTTTGAGCCTTAAATACTGTATTTGTAGACGTGGCCTTTGTGTTTAGGGAAGAGGAGGCTTTGAGGGGATTTTTAAAAATCCTTTATCAGGGGTTTTTAGTTTAGTTTTAGTTTAATTTTTTTACTTGCTGAATACTGAAATAGGGTCAGTTTCAGCTCAGTTATTTTAGGTAAATTTTAAAATTTATCCTAGTGGGACCTGTTGGGTAGTATCAAACCAGTCCAGCCATTGCTTCACATCGTGGCTTTTAGGTTTGTGTCTGTGTGTCTCCGTCTGTGGTCATGCATGCATTAGCTCCACTGGGGGGATGAAATGTCCCCACAGTGTGATGATAACCTGCTAGACCTTCCTGGGACATTTTTTCGGTCCTGATAGAAGGATGCTTAATTTCATAAAAATCTGTGAATGCAATCGAAAAACTAAAATTGCCAAAAGTATTTTGTTTGGTTACTTATGATAAGGGCCGGGTTGGGGTTAAGGTCGTCATTGTTAAGATTAGGGATAAGACCATAAAAATGAGAGTCCCCATAAAAATATAGATACCTAGTGCGTTTGTGTGTGTGTGTGTGTGTACATGTGTGGGCACACACGGAATGTATTTTAAAATATTGTATTTTTTGTAGTTTTAAATCTCAGAAATTAATCTGACATGGTCTTACAGTATATTCACATGTATGGCTGAGTCAGTAATTTTAGTGTACATCTTGTAACTGGGTTATTTGTTTTTGTACAAAGGTTGAGGTTTAGATTTGTGTGAATGAACATAGTAACAGTGCAGAAACGGTACCGAAATACATTTGGGTTTATAAACAATTCGTCATTTGAGTCTGACAGCATGGTGAGTCTCTCATTTGGGGTGACATTTAAATCTGTCTAAATTTGTACCTGGAGTTTTCTGAAGTGGGCTTTGCATCGTTTATCCTGTACAGCATCAGCCCTCGCAGAATATGCCTGATTTGTGATTGAATATTCATAAACACAGGCTGTAAACTTACTCTGAAGGAATATGCTCTCTGTTTTTTCCATACTTCCATACCATGGATTAGTTTGGAGATTACGGTGAATTTTGCCAGAGCCCCTGGTGGATTCTGCCCAGGAGCTCGCAGAAAACCACACGGGAACATGATCGCTGCAGCGGCGGGTGATCGCATTCGATGGCGCATTAGGGCAGTGAGGACCCCAGGGAGGGCCTTCCCTTTCCCTCCATGTCTGACCGTCATTGCGTTTCCTAAGACATTCTCCCCCAGTCACTTTTGACTGTCCTGTACAGGGCACCGAAGGGAACATCTTCCTGATTACACAGGCCGTGTGTGTGTGTGCGCGTGTGTGTATGTGTGTGTGTGTGTACATGTGCTGCGTATGTGTGTGTGCGCACACGTGTGTGTGTGTACCAAATGTCCCCACAACGTGATGAATACCCATTTTTTAAAAATATTTTTATTTAATAAAAATCCGTGACTGCAATGAAAAAACTAAAAATGCAAAAATGTGTGCGTGTGTGTGTGTGTGTGCGTGCGTGCGTGCGTGCGTGCGTGTGTGTGTGTGTGCGTGCGTGTGTGTGTGTGTGTGCGTGCGTGCACCCGCGCATGTTCTTGATGGGCCCGATTTTGGGGAATGTTTTACCTATTAGATTGGTATTATAGATACAGGGAGCAGTAGTATTCCCTGCCTTGTGCCCTTTGCTTCTGGGATAGGCTCTGGACCCCCGCAACCCCCCTATTGAGGGTGGATGGATGGTATTAAAGACACCTGGTGGGCATTTTGTGTATTGTTATTTTTCTGAAGTTTCTGAAGCTTTTTATTCGCCATTGGTGGCCAGTGACAGTGACTCACTTGAACGTATTTAAGGAGTGAAGGACTCTTGTCCGTATTAGCGTGTGACAGCCTGTGTTCTGGCCACAGCTGCTGGTTTCCTCCTGAAATCCAGCATGTGGAATTTGGGTTCACCTGATGGTGATAATGCACAAAATGAACAATCCAGTAAATCAGTTTACCCGAATCACCTGATATTGAAAGATAACATCAGTTTATCTGTTTACCCAAAGTACTTTTACTCAGCTGCTGTGAAAATTGAGTTTTCCTTTTGAGTGTCTATTGCTGTTCATATGGACTTAGATTATTAATGTATTACTTTGGCAGTATTAATTCATTTTTTTGGATGGGAGGTGCGTTTAGTGTACAGATACTACGTCCAGGTGTGATTGGCCACATCGGGGCCCCCGCATGGGTCACCCGGCTTTTCATGCTGTGTCGCCATAGAAACGGCCCCGCGGTTGGCCGCGAGGATGAGGTCACCGCTTCCCAATCCGGCCCGTTGGCACTATTGCGTCTCCGTCTGCCCTGGACGCCACGTGGGCCCAAGCGTGACAGACAAGACAGGAAGTTGGTGGCGAGGGGGATGGGGGGAGTTGGGTGGGACGGTCCCACCGCATCATGAACTGATGGAAGCCCCGCCCCTTAAGCCAGCACGGGACCCAACGAAAAAAAAAATCTGTTTAAATCAGCCTGACGGAATGACTTCACATTCCTGTAATCCAGTTCCTGTCGTCCAGAGCAGGAACACGCCTCGCTGCACGGTGATAGTGCTGGGATCCGAGCTCCAAGGTCACCCAGCGGGATGGGTGATGTTTTTGAGGTACCGGCTTATTTTTATTACGACAGCATTTTGGGGTGGCAGGCGAGCGAAAGCGAGCGGCGCTCCCTGCCTTTATTACGATCGGGCCCGAGGTATGATATCGTCCTCAGTCTTTCATTAACCCAGTCTGTCTCCGTGCGTTTAATTAAGCCAGGAGCCTCATGTCGTTCGTTAGCGCAAACGGATCCGACGAAGGATCTTCCCTCCTCTCTGCTATTGCGGCAATGAAACAGCGATGCTCAGATTTAGTTTTCGGTGTGGCGAAAACGGCGGGACCTGTGCACCAACGTGCTGCGGTGCGGATTTACCCGGAGGGTCTTTGGAGCCCCCGGACTGGGTAACCGCTCTCATTTCTCAGCTAGCTGTGGTTCCATCCCATGTTTCTCCTGTATGGTGTTAGGCTCTTTCTTTCCCAGAAGTAGTGAAGACTGCCCGATTTTCCCAAGTCGAGTGACAGAAGCCTAATTTCCTTACCGAAAAGAGGATTACGAAGCTTGGTGAAATGTAACAAGCGCCTTGGGATGACTCCGTTGTGAAAGGCGCTATATAAAAATGAACTGAATTGAAGTGACCCCCTGTCCGGCTCATTTGGATGGACAGATAGACATGATTGTTAAACGGAACCAGAACTGCATGAAAGGCTCCTTTCTGGGGCCCCAAGACTTATGGATTATAGGTTTGCAGTCAGTAGCACTGTAATTTCTCTGAAATGAAAATGCACACAAGCTGCGTCTGGGAAATGTTACTCTTACACATAACCTTCTTACGTCCTGCAATTTTCATTCACGTGACCATCAGCTCCTCCCTACCCTCCCTGCCTAATATTGAAAATGACTGGATGCTCTGTGGTGTACCAGTTTGGTACTGCTCTAAGTGTAGTGTAAGGAGCTGGTCTTGTGGCTAAACGTTTTTCCTTATTTTTTAAGTATATTTGGGTCAAACTACCTGGACACCCAAAATAAAGGGGATGTCTGATAGCTATGAGACCATTACCTTAATAATCCAACGTAGGAGGAGTGAATTTATCAACAATTTTTGTCATCTCTGATTTTTCCTCGGTTGCCTTTAAGTATCTGGATTGACTAAGCAGATCTTAACACTAAAAGGGACTAATGTAAATGATGAGGCGTCAAGCGGGATATCAAGCCAGGTGTTGGTGCTGTTTACGACTTTCAAATTGTTCTAAATTGTGAAATGATAACATGCTGACACAGGTAATGACTTTTACAATGTAAACATACTATGGGCGTCACTCGGTGGACGAGTTCTGCTGGTTCCACAGATGGGACGGATTTCCCTGAAGATGCCGACCACCAGAAATGGTGCGATTCTCCGCGTGTCAATTAGCGTATTACATGCGATTTGTCACAGAGCCATTTCAGCTCTAGAAAAACGTCGCATTTGGAAATTACGAGGCCCGTTTTATAGGGCTGATATATTAATGTGTCACGGTAAGAAATGTTTTGACAAATGTTGAGCGTTACAGAGACTTTGTGAAGTGGCTGAGATTAACGGGGTTTCCTTCCGTAGTTATGTAGCGTCGCACATAATCTTTCACTTTGTTTTGCCTCTTGCAGTGTTTAGATGTGATTCATTCGCCGACACATAAACTTGTCAGTGTTTGACCGAACACTGGTGAGTTAGTGTGGTGGGAAGTGGGGGGGGGGGGGGTTGGTTTATGGTAGAGCTTGTAGCTGGAAACACAGTACATAGCTTATTTTACTTGTTGGGTTGTGAGTTACTGGAGCCTGCCTGTACTGACCGTATGAATGGAAAAGAAACAGGGATAAAAGGAGAAGAAATCCATCACCTTAAAGGTCAAGCGAAGATAATAGGAAATAAGACACCATAACATTGTGGCTGGCACCCCTCACTCCATAATGGAACCATTGTCACCACGTCCAGCAGCAAGCACGTGGTCCCGGGGGTAGAGCTCCCCCTACTGGGCCGTCCACCCAGCCCTCTTCCCGTTTCTCCTGCATCGATTGTAACTGGACCACACAGAGTGACAGCTGAGAGTTGTCCACAGTGCTGTAGGGCAGAAGAAAAAAAAAAAAAACTTCTTGTAGAGTTTTCCAGAACATCGAGTTCCCCGGAATATACAGGCGGAGGTCTGTGGAGACCACTTCTGTTGGGTGCTTGTCATTCTGTATTGGTAATGTCTGTACGATTGAGTAATATGCGTACAATCTGTCTACAGTTACTGTGTTCTTCCTCTAGAAGATGAAGGCATCCCTACGTAAGGGGAAAACTAACGCTCAACATTATTTTGCATTGAGGAGTCACTGACATTCTCTCGTCATGTGCGAGGCATTATGGATAAAATAGCTAAAACGAATCATAGCATACAGCTAACCTCGACCGGGAAAATTCAGCCGTATCGTGAGTGACATCATCGATTCAACATCAGCCAATTAACATAGTTACCCAAGGTGTTTAAGAAATGTTTATTAATGGCATTATGGGGGTAAAAGCTGTCAAAGTATAACATTAAAAGTCCGAGGGAGAAAAGGCCAAAAGACAAAAGAGGAGAAAAACTTTTGCTGCCCCCTACAGGCAAGATAACCTTATAGTGTTGAGAAAAAAAGTAGCAGTTTCTCAAGCTAAAGTTTGAGGGGACAACTGGGTCCGTCTCCGGCTGCTGCTCTGCCAGGCCGTAACATTTTGGTAAAATATGGACGTGTGGAAATCCACCGTTGGAACAATCCAACTGTGTGACCGAAAGTGCACATTAATTCCCAGAACAGTGGGAAAACACAAATATTAATGATATGATTTGAATCTCAAGGGAAATGGATTAAATATTTGCGGGTTAAGAGTTCCTATTCAGATCGTACCAAAAAATGCTTTGTGCCAGCCGAAATGGCCTTAATGTCATGCAGGACAGGGTATCGGTGACGCATAGGCCAGGCTGTCCTGTAAGATAGTACTGATGTTTGTTATTCACATGGAGATGTAGAGGATATGGAGACCTGACTGAAGTAGGACAGCTTTTTCAGGATTTTGGTTGCAGGTGTTTCTAGAGCCGGAAGGAGCTTCACTATTAGACCAATGACCCTTATAGGACCACAGCCTCCTGTCTCATTTGGACACGTAATGAGTTGGTGCACCAGCAAGCATCTTGCTGGACTTTGGGGTGGTGCCCAGGTCCTACAGGGGCCTCTGCTCCAAGCTTCACCTTGGGTGGACATCTACTTCTTCATCCCCATTTTTTACAGGACAGTAGCCCTGTGGAGCCACCCTATCTTTTCCTAGCAGCTTCTGTAATGAACTGCCTCCCAAACTCCCTGATTGGTCTACGTATTGGCCCCTCCCCTCTCCTGTACCACACCTACCCTTCCCATCCGAGTCTAACCAACTGCTGCCTTTCCGGCCTCCTGCCACTAGGGCGGCGCCACAAAAGGGGTCTCCGGCATGGCACCGTCGGGGACGCAGCAGAACCCCATGGCACACGACAGACTTCAGATTACACGGACATATGGTGTCCCGTTCCGGCAGGACGTGCCCGTAGGACGGTGTCTGCTCTCTCGCCGCGCTTCCTCTTGTGAGCTTTCCGGACGCCCCTGCCTCTCCGCCCCTGCCTCTCCGCCCGCGTAGCTGTGACGCATGCTGCCGACAGCACTTCCTAATGGCCCGGCAGTCTCCGCCAGGAGAGGGTGTCTTTCGTGCCTTTCGGTCGGTGTCTCTGGAGCCTGTTTGTTTATGGTTATACATAGCAGATGGTGGCAAAAAAAGTCGTCACATGTCTCACGAAACTGCTCTGTGGCCTGCTGGGATTTGGGGGGGACAAAACTGTGCTTGGCCCCCGCTGTGATCCAGGGCGTGGTGGGACTGTGCTCTGTCCCTGCTGCGAGTCAGCGGGTAGCCGGAACTGTGCTCTATGCCTCCGGATAACCAGAGGAGGGGTGGATCTGTGTTCTGTGCCCGTTTGGACACGGAAGGAGGTGGGTTCTGTGCCCTGCCTGGAGGGCTTTTATCTCTTTTTTTTCCCCTCTGCTTGCAGCTTCACCTGCAGGATGAGAGGTTCTGAGTGGCCCATTTGCATCAATGGCGCATTTCACCACCACTGAGAAGCATTTTTTCCGACCGGACTATGAATAGCCCACGATGGGGGCAGTTTTTAGGGCCGCAATGGAATGGAGAGCCGAACGCAAGGGGTGGGGAGGGGTGGCATTATCTTTACACTGAGGGCCCAAAACGCAGGATGGGAGGAGATGCTGTCGTCCTGGCCTGTCAGGGGCTTTTGTGGGGGTAAGAGGGCAGTTAGCAAGGATTTATTTTAAACCTGGAGGTGTCAGAAATGGAGGGGGAAAAAGGGGAGCACCGACACGGCAGGGTACGAGATGAGGGGGGGTATTTATAGGCAGAAAGTGGTCAGCAGAGAACGTGGAAAGGTGTTGTATTTCTTCCTGTCATTGGTGGGGGGGGCGTGCCTATTTTAAAGGTGGCGGGCAGATCAGAAGGTGTCACCCCCCCCCCCGAACCAGGACGCAGGGCCTTCCACCTGTAGGGCTCTCTGGCGCCTCCGACCAGGGGCATCCTGGTGCTTCCCGCATTGGAGATGTGGCCCTTCGCCGTCCTGGGGACCCTGAGCTAATTCTCTGCTCCCCGCTCATCTGATCAGCTGCACTCATCATGTTACGTGATCATAATGGCTCTTGGGGCAGCATGAAGGCCGTCTTTCTGGTGTCGTCCCCAGCTTGCCGTCACACACGCTTCTGCCCTCATGGTATAAATCAGAAATAGCAGGAAACAGATTCTGTTTTGTGCATTTTTGGGGGTATTTTCTACATGTGGATCCGTGTCCCAGACAGCTGAGGGCGTAGGAGAGGTGATATTAAGCTGCAAAGGTGTGTTTATTTAGGGGAGAGTGAATTAAGCCAAATTAAATATTGGGGGTACATGTCCCCTGTCCCTCCACTTCCTGCGCCCCTTGCTGAGTTAACATGAGATCTCTTAGTGAGGTAGAAGATGTTGCGCTAAGCACCTAGTGGTTTGGGGTCTGGATCCACTTAGCATGGAGTCAGCCAGGCATGTGTGTCTGTGTGTGAGTGTGTGTGTGAGTGTCTGTGTGTGACTTTGGGTGTACATCTGTGTCTGCAAGTTAGTGTTTGTGTGTGTGTGCCAGTGTCTGTGTGCGTGCGTGCATACATGTGTGTGTATGTGTGTGTGAGCGTGTGCGTCTGTGTGTGTTTGTGCGTACGTGCCACAGTGCCACTGACAGTGTCTGGCACAGACGGCCATGAAGCCCAAGATGTCCCCAAAGGTCACGGAGGACATCTGGTCTGACTTTGATCTCTCTCCCCCCCCCCCCTCACTTACCCCGGTGGTCCAGGACAGGCCTTGCATGTTAGATCGAGCCACTTCCTTCACCGATTATTAATAGGGATTTATGGCAGCTCTGTCCAGTGGGGCAGGGGGGAGGGAGTCCTCTTTCAAATCCCTGTCTGCATTCTTCCTGTTTGCACTCAGTAACCCCCCGTACAGTGTGGCAGCAAGTGCTGTTGGTGACAGGCTGCTAAATATAGTTTAGAAGTGGGGTCTGCCTGGCCTGTAGGGGGCAGCATGCTGGCTCCCAGACAGCACAGACTTAGACTAATCACATCTGTCTCCTGGCAGAGAGTGAAGGCCACTCCGGCTGTAGACCCTAACCCTCCAGCTTCCTGTGCTCTCAGCTCCCCTCTTGTAGGAACGAGTCATGCTGCCTATTGACCAGAACATCCAGTAACTCTGTCAGTACTGTATCCATGCAAGTCAGTACCATGTCTGTTCTGCAGGGACCAGTAACTCTGTCAGTACTGTATCCATGCAGGTCAGTACCATGTCTGTTCTGCAGGGACCAGTAACTCTGCCAGTACGTACTCTATTCTGCAGACAGACCAGTGAATCTGTCAGTCCTGTGTCCATAGCAGAGACAGACAAGGTTCGACCATTTTTCCTAGACCAAATTTGCCCCTCAAAACTTAACTACTCTCTGTACCGACCCCAGAGCAGCACTGCACAGCTCAGGCTCTCATGGAACGACTGACATACACTCGTGTGTGTCTGCTACCGTGATGAACTCCTTCATTCAGTGTCATTTTACCCCCTTCGCTGAGCATAGCTCATAACTTTTTATTTCAATGAATATATATGAAAAAAATGAATGAGAATCTGAATAGTCATTTACTTTGAGCACTTTTGATCCAGACTTGGCACTGCAGATATGTGATGTACTGCATTAAGACTGAAGTGTTGTGTGTCTTCAGAAAAATTATACATAATTAAGATTTTGTGATTCCTTTGATAGTTCCCCGTCACACTTAAAGGATCCAGACTTTATTGGAAACATCATAGTAAACAGAAGATTAATTATGAGGCTCTGGGACTGTAGTAACATTGCAAGTCCCGGTGAAACGGGGGGGGGAGCCTAGTTTGGACTGACTGATTAGTTGGTGGAGCAGGCTGGTGTGCAGGTGTCCCAGAAAGTCCTGAAAAGCCACGGTGGTTTCGCCCGCAAGCGAGCGAGCAGATGAAAGCCATTGACAGCAGCGCATAAATGCAGGACGTGTAGTGGAACAGGAGGACTTTGAAAACAAGTCCTTAAAAAGACCTGATTCATCCCCACCCCCAATCCAATGCAGTCCATTGCAAAACGGTACCCGACTGGGAAATGAGATCCACATTTCTCTGCATTGTCTTTGTATTCTCCACACAGGCTGTTGGAGCTGAGGAACCCGTGCTGTCCCTTCTGCCTTCTGGAAAAAAAGCGGCACGTTTGCCCCGCAGCCGTGCATCTGCTGCGAGCATGCATCTACGAGGGTACAAGTGCTGCACACCTGCTCCGCCTCCATACAGTAACCGCCATGTTAAACTTGCATATATGCTTTCCATTTTCTTCCTTTAAAACACCCTGTTCCTTTCCTTGCAGCTCACCTCCCCGTAACAGCCCTGGGTACGAGCCTCTCGCATGTCCTTCACCGACTGACTGTGACTTTGCTGCCCCCTGGTGACCAAGACGGAGATGGCCACTCTGACCCCTCTGAGGTGATCGTATTTTTTTTCCCCCTTCACTTTCCTTTCATCTCCGTCTTCTGTTAGCATCTTCTTCCTAGGCATGCTGGACCGGATGAAGGTGACGGGCACGTATCTGGAGGGGAAAAAAAAACTGTCCTTTGGGGTGAGGTAGTAGGTTGTATAGTTTCAGGGTTTTACCCTTCCTGTCAAATAACTATACAACTTACTGTCTTTCCTGGAGTGGCTGTGATGTCATCGCTCGAAGATCACGCTCACGAGGACTCGCCCACTATACATGTGTCGCTTGTTGTTTCCATGACGTGTTTACCGGGATCTCGGATGGGAGAGCTTGCTGGATGCCCTTTGCCCAAAACTCCAGCCCGGTCTCTCCTCCTGATGTTCGCACAGGGTGAGGTAGTAGGTTGTGTGGTTTCAGGGTAGTGATTTTGCCCCCATCAGAAGATAACTACACAACCTACTGCCTTCCCTGAAGGACAGCGATGCAGCTCGAGACAGCAAGCATGCCCCCGTAGATCGGTAACGACAGCGTTGGTGAATGGGAAATGTAAACAGAGACAGACTGACATTACTAAATAATATACGGTAAGGAAACTGAGAATGGAAATGCTACATTTACACCTATGTAAATTCTGAAAGGGTGATGAGACAATTAAAAATTTATTAAAAACAGTCATCTGTAGTGTGTTTACTTTTTATAGCTCTGTATGTTTTGGACTCTGCAGTTGGGGGATTTTGATAACATGCAAAGTGGAAGGTGGAGGATTTCGCCGAATTAGCCGGAGACAGATCTAACTCCACATACCATATTATATTTATCAATGGTTCCCAGGAACAGGCCATAAAGACCGAAATCATATTTGCGTCCTGAATGACGGTTCCCACAAATAAGCTGGAATCTCAAAAGGGAGTGTGGAGGACTGTTCAGAGAATGCGGTTTATTGTTTCTGTTCATAAATATGTGTGTGTGTGTATATGTATGTATGTATGTATATATATACATACATACACACAAACACATATATATACATACATATACACACACACACACACACGCGTGGCATTTGTGAGCTGAGGAAAGGCTGTGGTTTCCGGTCTGTGAGCCCTTGTATCGGCTCGTGTATCGTTGCGAAGCCCCAGGCAGCCCCAGGCAGCCCCAGGCAGCCCCAGGCAGCACCGGTGTACAGCATTGCATCTTCAGGCTCTCCTCAGGAGTGCGATTCCGGCGGTGCAACATGGCAGCTGAGAGTCGCGTTATACACCCATATCACAAAGGCTTGGAGACCGAGAGAAAAAGGAGACTGGGAAATGGGATCAGAGCTTCTGGGTTTAGATTGTCAAAATGAAATATTCCAAATCCGCCCTGCTCCCTGAGTCAGGAAGACAGATGTTTCACTGGACAGTAGGTGCACTTGAGGTTAACGATCTGGGCTTCTTAGAAACTCACTGCAGTTTCAAGTTTCGTGAGGGATGCTGATCACCCCACGTTTGTTTTTTGTGATGAATGAGTTAAGTTTCCCGCTGGACGAATGAGACGAGCATAGAAGTGTAACCCACGTAAGTTGCTTTGGTTAAAAGCATAATCGGGGATGTGTTTCCACAACCGTTTCAACGCGATCCTGCTTTTCCTCGTGAATCCCTGAGACTACGTCCGGACAGTGTTTACACAAAGTGATGTTTGAACCGCAGACTGAAACTGCTGCTCCGCTCAGTCCCCTTTGCACTTGAACATCATTCTTTCATCTATTGCATGTAAGGGATTCATCTGTCCAATCTTATTTATCTCTTGTGCAGGGATATAAACACGACTGGCACAGATATGAAACATATACAAACAACACTAAACCTGGTTTCGGTTGAGGACCAAGTCGTTTTTATTTCTTTTTTTAGCATCACTTGTCTCTGGAAAGCGTGAAGTCTTCAGCTTATCCATCTGTCTCACAAGCAGGTTTGCCCCCCCCGCGCCCCCGTCCACAAGCGCTGCCCCTTTCTGAAAAACAGCATTCAAACTCATGCTCGGTGCGCCATCTACTGTTTGCTTATGATATGACATTCTTTTTGTAATAACCAATTTGAACTTTCAACAGAACAAACGCACATCGAATGACATTCATTTAAAGACATTTTCGGTGTCCACCTGCTAAATTTTAGAAACTTATTTCATCATACAGAAGTTTTAACATGCATTCTGAGGAAATAAGATTCCGCGTGAGAAAAGACGGTATTATATGTTTTTAAAATTAAATGTTTCATTTTCATTACTAAATATATGTATAGTACTTCAGTAAACAATAACAAACGGCGTGTTGGATATTACAAAATGGGAGATATTTACATAGGAGTTTTTTTCTTAATATTAACTTATACTACTTTGTATGCGGAACTCGTGATGTTTAGGCGCGCCTGTACCTATACAGTAGGTTATTACAAAAGGCATAGGTTAATGAAATGCTGTAAGTCAGTTTTACTTTTTATATGTGCATCGTATTTAAAAAAAAAAAACTGATCACACAGCATTCCTCTAACGTTCCCCGTCGTTATCGACATATAAAATGTGTGGTTTTCGTCGGCAGATGGGGGTAGATTTCCCTTTTCTGTAACGTTATCGTCACCACATCAAGATTTTCTTGGAAATCTGTACTCTGGTGCAAGCTTCGTGCACGTGAATGACTTGAATTGTCTAAGAAAACATTAATGAACCCTTTTTTAGAGTAACGTTGATGTGATTTTAAAAGTCTGCTCAGACATTGATTTTGGGTAAATACATCTTGGAGTTAAAATTAGAGTAAATCAATTCAAACATGTCATTCGTAACATCTTATTGAGTGAATCCTGAAATTACGAACCGCGCACATCCAGGTTTGTTCCCACTCAGACTGTCCCACGGTCCTGACGATCAGAACAGCCCCAAATTAAGTTATGAATCAGAGACCTGTAAAACATTAATCATCTCTATGAACAGCGCGGCTAATTACAGACGACGCTTGACAATTGTCGTATATGTTAGTGATTGTATGTACTTTAATTATTCTTTTGGGAAGCTCCCATGTCAACAAAATCTTATGCTGTTACATGTTTCTCTTTTCCTCTACTTGGACTGCAATACTTTGTAAAAGCTATTTAAAATCTATTTACCTGCATTTTGTTCACTATGGAATAAAGAGACGATCGAGTGGATCGAGTCTGCGGACCTTCCAGGTGAAATACGTATTGGCTATAGCCTATCGATAATCTTGTGTTGATTCCTTGATGAACATATTGTGACATAGTTTTCTTCGATCGAGTGCCTGTGCCACTGGAGCGCAGAGTATGCAATGAGCTGGCGATTATAAGCGCGTCACGAGGTCCAAATCCCTCTGCCGTGAGGTTACTGCTCTGTATGGGGTGACAACGGCCTGCTTCCAGGCTCAAAATCGACATCAAAGCGCCCTGGCACGGATGTAAGCCTTGCGGGGGGTCATCGAAGGAGAATGGAAACTGGTCAACAAGAGAACAACAAGAGAAACAACGGGCTTATGACCTCAAATCAAAAGCACTGTTCCGATGCTTGTCCTTCACGTTTTTTTAAGAAGATTATGCATTCGTTCTTCTGCCCACGGACATTTTCAACAAGCAGTCTTTAAATCTTAGAAACAATAAGTAAACAATAACGTTTTGTTTTGCTTACTCTAGTTACTGGAAATACCCCACAATTGCCCATACACCAACAGCATCACGAAAAGTACATGCATTAAAAGTGATTGGGTTGTTGATTTTATTTCCATATTTTCTTTTCAAATCCTACACACTGCGCCAGACCTTGCATTGCGCTCTTCCTATTGGCTGGCGGAATAGGTGTGTCAGGGGGTGTGTCTTCAAGTCCTCCAACTGTCACTCATGTCGTCACTTCCGGCTCTCGGGGCTTCGCCCAGGCCGGGGTTTTGACAGCGGCAGCCCAGCGGAGGCTGTAAAAGGACGCGTCTAGGGGACCCTTCTTATCTCCTTCTTTGCGCCCTGTCAGCCGTTTAAATCGCTTCGATTTCGGTCTATATGGCGGCATCGGATTGGGAAACTCTCTTAAAGGTAGAAACGTCTGTTCATACTGACCAATCCCGAAATTATTTACATTTTTTATACATTATTACTATTAGTGTTGCTCTGAGCCCCTGCGTGTCATTAATGACAACAGGCGGACGGTCTTAAGGTGGTTGTTTTGGAGCTTGTCCGGTTTAGTTAGCGCCCAGATAAGTCCACGTATTGCGGGCTTCAAACACATTAATTGTTTTTTTGACGAAAAAAGGAATTCAGAGTAGAAGCGCGCTGTTGTGAGACTGCATGCGTATGTATGTCGTCGACATGTGAGCGCGGCGGGTCACACTTTTGCTGGTGCGGAGCGGGGAAATGCGCACTGCCCTTCGCTTATTTACGGAGCCACTTTGTGAATGACTCCGTGTCAAGTTTTTATAACCGGGCCGAATTTGCAGCTGGGCCCGATGTGGCGGTTACAGTCACGCATCTGGAAGTCCCTTTTATCAACCCGTCTAAAATGTGATTAATAACTTACATTTAGAGATTCACAAAAGTAAATTAAATGATGTGTCGGTCGGAGACAAATTAGTTATCTTTACTATGGTGCCTTCCACTCTAAATAAAATGTGCACAGACTTGTAATTGGGCAACAAACAAGCCAAACAATATAGTTTGGTTACAGTACGTGTCACTGTGCTTGTCAATCCGGGTTAACTCATAATAACGAAGATGGGGCACCATTTGAGCTATATTATTGTCTTGGCACTCCTAATAGCAGAGGCCCACCTGAAGCGTCCAGCAGCTGCTTAATTGCTTGTTTTTGCCTGAACTTTGCTATGGAGTGATTAATAGATTTTTTTTGGGCTGTTGTGCAGAATTATTTTAGGATTTGGTTGGACACTGGATTTAATCCTTAACAAGATTACAGCCATCCTCCTGTTATACAGTAGTGTGTTCATTACTGATTTCATTTAGTATTGAAATGGGGTTTCTTTTTACTGAGCATCAGGGCTCTCTGCTCTATGGTAAGTACCTCACTTGAGCTTGGCAGAAGAATTTAATTAATTAATTTATTTGTCCTGCATCACTTAATGGTGAGAAAATTACCCGGGATGTCATTGTGTGGGAGGCGTGGATCAGGCCCGACCATCAGACAGTGCTGAGGAAATGGATCATGGGGCTTTACGTGTCGCTTCACTGCGGTTTCCACTGAGGTATTTTGAGCAAAATTCAGCCCCCAGGGTGAATTTTGTGTTCCCTAGTGAACTTGTTGCGTAGCCCTGTTTAATGCATTCCAGTGAGGTCTGAAATAGTTAGCGATGTTCATTGCATCCCGAGCTCATTAATTAGGCCGCGCTGTGGAGCACTGTAGCTATTTGCAGTAATGAACAGCTCAGAGGCTCTGCGGCTGAATTGAACATGTCAGCTGTTTGGTAGGCACTGGAAATTATAATAAATCTATAGAAATGACAAAGGCTTCTAAGGATATTATTGATTACCTAGTAATTTTTGATGTAGGTGTTGAAATGACTGCAAGGACGTAGTCTTTCAAAGACGGTGCGAAAGGGGAAAATGTGGCATTTGGGCCCTTTTTGAATTTCAGGCCGGCAAACAGTTATCTGAAGTGCTGCGGGACTGAGTTTATTAGTGTGTTTGCTTACGTTT